TACGAATTGCTCGAGTTGTAGTACAGATAAATAAGGCGACCCATCTTTTTATCATAACCGTACCACTAAACACGTTTATCGGCCCGAAGTAATCTACAGCTGTCATGCAGAAGGCGTACCCTGGTACTACGTGACATTCCGGGAACGCAGGCATTTCGGGGAGCTTAAAACGTTTTGCGGTCCACCGACGACAGTACATACACATCCTCTGTATTACTAGTTTTGTTGTACGGCGCTCGTGGGGGGGTCCAACATAATTTGCAAAATTGGGCTAAGGTTGTTGGAACACCACTATGCAACAGCGACTGATGCACGTGTAAAAGTAAAAGCTGTGTTATTCGACTCTGTCGCGGTAGAAATATTGGATGTTTTTCCTGCTGTGGCAATCTCGTTGTCGTAAGACGACCGCCACAACGCCAGAATTTGTCCTCATCTAGGAACAAAACCCATTTAATCACTTTTTTTTCTCTGATGTGGCGTTGTGCTTGGCGAAACAAACAGTTTTGTGCAATCTTCCGATCTTTTACTTGGAGTGCCCCACATTTAGAGATAGGTGCAAGCCAAGTAGCAGGCGCGCGTGCAATTTTACGGAGGAAACGCAGTGCATATGCAGTTGTGTCAATAAGCGTATTCCACGAACTGAAATGTTCTTCGTCAATTAATTAAAGCGTCGAAAATGTGTTCGCACCTGCTGGATTAACGCTGCGTGAAATTTGAGTAGGATTACTAACAGCAGCACTGATAAACTGCTCTGACTGAATGGGATCCGTTTTGGATGCTTCAAAACAAGGCCAATTTGAACGAGTTTTAGAAAGCCAATCTGGACCGTTCCACCACCGGACTGATGCGGAAAGCATCGATGGAGACAGTCCGCGTGTTGCCAGAACTGCTGGGTTCTCAGCAGTGGTTATGTACCTGTATGTGATATTTGCTACTTTTTTTATCTCTTTGAGGCGATTTTTAACAAAGCGTGGTAGACGGTCATCGATTTCTGCTTCGATGCAAGGAAGAACGCATTTGCTGTCGCACTATAAAGTAGAATGCATATTGCTTAAACGAAGCTGTTTCGCAATAAATTGGGAAAGTCGAACACCGATCAAAACTCCTAAGAGCTCCAAGCGGGGTATGGTAAACCCTTGAATTGGAGATATGCGGTACTTCGAAATAATGAGCGAACTTGGAGAAGCATTGTCAGTTTTTGAACGCGCATAAACAGCTGCGCAATATGCACGAGAAGAGGCGTCTGTAAAAATGTGCCATTCAAGCTCTTCAGAACGGCACTGAGAAGGACTGCGCTTTCCAATGAGAGATCAACTCGTCCCATTCCTGCTGCTTCGCATTCGAAACCTGCGCGTCCCACGAACTTTCTTCCATAGTGATGTTTTGCAAGAAAATCTTCAAAAGAAGCGTCGATGGCGCCAGCAACCCTAAGGGGTCAAAGTGTCGCGCAAGAAATCTAAGAACAGTTCGTTCACTTAGCGTTTCTTTAGGAGGAGCGAGCGTTTTCACTGTGAGCGTATCGTCAGAGACGTCCCATATTAGGCCAAGGACTTTGACTTTCTGCTTGGGATAACGGTCCTCAGGTCTGATCTTTTCACTGACGAATATGGAATTTGAAATGTAATCGCGCAAATTCATTTTAGCTGATAAAAAAATTTGTTTTGATTCTTGATACGCTTCGAGTGCTTCCTCTTCTGTTTCCAAAAGTAGCAGGACATTATCTACATAAATATTTGACGCTATTTTGGAACTCCACCGAGAGCTACATTGCGAAAGATGATGTCGAATGACAGAGGCGAGTAAGAAGGGCGATGATACAGCTCCGAAAAATATTCGACAGAAACGATAGCTGATTACGCTATTGGTTTCCGAAAGTGGTAATTCTGGATTACTAATCCAAAGAAATCTAGAGACGTCTCGGTCTTTTTCATTCAAGGCAACTTGCAGAAATGCTTTTTCCAAATCGGCGATCATTGCTATTTTCGGTAATCGAAAACGCAGAAGGTTCCCTACCAAGTCGAGCAAGAAAACCATTCCCCGAAAGAGATTATCATTTAGCGATTTCTTTGGCGAAGAGCTTGCACTTGCATCGTAAACTACTCCTAGCTTTGTGTGCTCATGAGTTTCAGAAAAAACTGGCTGGTGTGGAATACAATTTACGAACGGTCCCGTAGGTTCGATCGGAGCTAACTCGATGCTTCCCTCTTGAAGCTGTTGCTGAATAATTGCGTTATACTGTGCCATATGTTCAGAATGCATCCTAAGGCGTCGTAAAACCGATTGTAAACGTCCAACACAGAGTCCAAAGTTATTTGTTAAATTTGGTTGCTCTGTCCTCCAAGGCCATCCTACACTATAGCGCCCATCTTTTAGTCGTGTTATAGATCGCTCAACAAGCATCATGGCTTTTTCTACGTCTTCCACAGATTCATTCTGAATATCGGTTCCAATGCGATCTAGGTCCCACAAGTTCTCAGCTTTGAGTTGAACGGTTCCAACAAGGACAGAATGTGATTGGCGTTCCAAATTCTGGACGAATTGCGGTTCAACATATCCACTACCACCTATCATGGGCCCTAATCTTGAGTCGTAGATAGCGAATCCATTTGGTAGATGTTTAATTACTTTTAGGTTTAAAATTGAGATGACGTTTGAGCCAATGAGAATGTCAGGTTCTTCATTCCTAAGATGTAGTGGTAAAACTTTACTTCTATCATGTCACAATCCTTTTACCTCTTTTTGAGAAATAGATGCATGCAAGAACGAGTCAGTGACTTTGGGCAGTGTATGAGCCTTAACTAAGAAACTTGAACCGTCAGCAAGACACAGCCCAAAAACACGAGAACTTCGGTACTGAGTTATACCACTAGCCCCAACACCTTTGATAGAAATTGGGCCATCCTGCTCTTTTTGAAGGCCGAGTTTTCGTGCAAAATGGTCAGTTATAAATGATGCTTGACTG